GATTTTGAAAAATCACCTTTGGGACAACCATGACCTGGATGATTGAGAATCTCCATAGACACTGGACTAAATTAAGACAGTTAAACTGGAATAAGATAGCTTCCAACCTACCTTCCTAAGATTTAACAATCATGAACTGAGTTACAATATTGATTAAACCTACTGAGAATATTGTTATCATGTCAACCAAAAGCTTCCTTTGCTTAAGAAATGCTTAAATATATACTAGTATGAAATTGCTTATATTATATTATTGACAATGCCCAGGTGTCCATTGATTCATACAACTCATTTTAGAAGAAGACATTTTCTCGGTGATCTAGATTGGAACCCAGCTGGGATTTTAAGTATCAGTATTTTGAATTCTGCTCTAGAAAAAAAAGGGAAGCCAATAGAGCTTTTCATGTACCAAGAAGATACATTCAAAATGTGTGATAAAATTAAGTATTTTGTGGCTGACTTTGTGAATTAATTGTAGCTTCCAGGCTGGATTCAAAGACATTTCCCTGAATTACACAGTCTAGTAATCTAACAAGGAGGTTACCTAGGATTTATAGGAAAGGCATCTCTACCTAGGAAAAGCTGCTTCTAGTTCTCCAACATAAATTATACATTGTTTTGAGAAATATGAATTTTGGAACAGTGGAGATGCTTCAGTGGTATATAAATAAATAACATACCAAATACAGTATCCACATGACATAATATCCTCACAGAAAACCCTACCACTTCTAGTTGGAAAAATCCCTGACATTACCAAATAAACTTTTCCAAGCTTGTTTTCTACAGGCTGTCTTTACAGTGGGAAGAAGTGATTATTCTCCCCACCACCACCACCAAATGTTGAAAAGCTTTTGGCTTGCCTAGAATTTTCTCTGGAAACTGGTCAAATATATAATGTCTCCCCAGGGCATCACTATCCAAACAGTGTAGTAACAGCTTTTTCATTTCCGTTCCTTGCACATTTCTTTGTGTGGTCATGTGCCTTGTATCAGGTTGAACTCTCACCTCCTATTTGTATTTGGCTGAGCTCCTAGTCTGGGAACAACCCTTTCCCCCATCCATCACTGACAGCTCTCTGAAGACAACAGGCTTTTCAAGCTCCATGGTCACTTAATTGCAGTTCAACTTGGAATCTGACAGCCATTTTAATCTGTGCTGATCTCAGCTGGTGTATGACAGTATCTCCTATAAAGTGAGAGGTGCAGACCTTCGTAACTACAAAGATTTGTTGTATATGGATCCACAGCATGCCATATTTTATTTGCTACAGTAAAGTCTGACTTGGTTTTTTTTTTTTTTGGCATTGCTTTTGATTCGCGCAACCTGCAACTAACTTCTGGTTAAGGCGGGGGGGGAGGGTTTTCTGGATTTTAAGGAAGCCTCTTTCTCAGACTTATTGAAAGATGTGAGGGTCAAGAAGGGTTAAAAATAACTTCCTCAAAAGGAAGCAGGACCTAAAATTAGGATGGAGGAACTTTTTCAAGGCCAGGGACTGCATTTAATATTAGTGGGAACTAAGAATTGAAGTGAGAAGGGCAATGACTCAAAGATGGTAGAGCTGCATTGACTCAAAGATGGTAGAGCTGCATCACATCAAACGGTGAGATTTTGTGGGTATCAGGGAAAGCCTTCCTTCCTTCCTTCCTTCCTTCCTTCCTTCCTTCCTTCCTTCCTTCCTACCTACCTACCTACCTACCTACCTACCTACCTACCTATTTTGAGTTATAGGCCCTATTTTCATGGGTTTTCCACTTCATAATAGAAAGGAAAAATGTCCCGTTTTACAATTACCTTGTCAAACCTGGAAGCATAATTCTTGGTTGCAAATTTCCCACTGTCAAAGTCAGGAGAGATTGAAAAAAAAATGCTAGCATTGCCTCCCAGAAATTATATATTGAATTAACTGACTTTATTTCAAATTCCAGGTCTCTATGGATATACCACTGTGATGGCAAGTGAGAATGATCTTGAGATACAGACTAATGAGACCCAACAAAGAGAATGGTGAAATAAAAGTCATCTTAGCCCATAGCAGGAATGATGATGGGGCAAGCGGCTAAGAAGGGACTCTGTCTTATTTTTTGAACTGTAAAGGGGACGGGGGAAGAGAAGTATTTTTGGACTTGTAAGATTCTATTAATATAACCTCATAACAAACTAGAGTTTGTTCTTACGTTCATGTTTTCTGTCTGGTCTACTTCATATGGCTGACAATTACAATCTCCCTCAATGAAATGCTTTGTCCTGTATCCCTTATCTTTAACAAAAGGTAAAGGGGAAAGATGAGGCTGATCTACCATGATTTTATATGTAGTATGCATGTTTGCATTTATATATGTGTGTGTAAAATACACACACAGAGTAATGTTTTACATGCATTTGAGTGTGTGTTTGTGTGTAAAATATTACTGCCCATCTCACCAAAAAGTGGACTCCAGAAGTGTTCCAAAAGAGTTTCTTCTGCAAACTACATAACATTGTCACAAGCATGAGAATCCAACTTGCAGGTCAAATTCTACAAATGGAGAACAATCGAATCCCCAAGATGGCAATGGGATGGATCCCTGATACCAACAAACCAACCAAGATGACACCCATGAAATAAATGGCAAAATGTGTTCATGGAACACTATAAGACTCTAAAGATCACATGGAAAGATACTGAAGTACTTGCCCAAGACTGAAAATGCTGGAGATCCCTTACTGCCTGATATACTACATAGCATGGAAGGATTTAGTGCTAATAAAAAAGTTCATCTCATACAAATGAGTCTGGGTAGCTTATAAGAATTAAAATAATAAAAAGCCCATAATATGTAACCCAAATACTAACAATGAGCCATGGTGGCACAGTGGTTAGAATGCAGTAGTACTGCAGGCTACTTCTGCTGCCTGCCTGCAGTTTGGCCTGCCTGCAGTTCGATTCTCTGACTCAAGGTTGATTCAGCTTTCCATCAGGGGTGAAATGCTCCCGGTTCGGACAGGATCACCCAATCCGGTAGTGATGGAGGCGGGTGGTTTGGAGAACTGGTAGCAAAAATTCCTGCCCCCCCCCCCCATGCCCAGCTGAGTCACGCAATCATCAGAGGCTTTTTTTTTTTTTTAGTTTTTAAAAGCATTTTTTCTACAACCTCTTCAGCTGAAAAAATGCTTTTAAAAGTAAAAAAAAGGCTCTGATGATCGCGCGGCTCAGCTGGGATCCTCAAAGGCTTTTAAAAGCATTTTTTCTACAACCTCTTCAGAGATTATAGAAAAAATGCTTTTAAGAGCCTCTGAGGATCCAAGCTGAATTGCCTGATCGGCAGAGGCTTTTTTTCTTTTAAATGCCTCTGATGATCCAAGCTGAGTTGCTTGATTGGCAGAGGCTTTTAAAAGAAAAAAAGCCTCTGATGATCAGGCAACTCAGCTGGGATCATCAGAGCTTTTTGAAAGCACTTTTTTACAACCTCTTCGCCGAAGAGGTTGTAGAAAAAATGGTTTTAAAAGTAAAAAAAAAAAAATTGGCAACACCCACCCAGTCACATTACCCCCTCCCCACTAAGCCACGCCCACAGAACTGGTAGCAACAAATTTTAGATTTCACCACTGCTTTTCATCCTTCTGAGGTCAGTAAAATGATTTTCCAGATTGTTGGGAGCAATATGTTGACGCTGTAAACCACTTAGAGAGGGCTGTAAAGCACTGTGAAGGGGTATATAAGTCTAAGTGCTATTGCTAAGTGCTAATAACCCCATTCACAAGAAAAAAAAACATTCATCAACAACACCAGAGCTCTTCTAGCTACCTGACCCAAATGCCCAGGGAAACAGCCAGGTTTTCAATGTCTCTCTTTGCCTTGATTGACTGCTTTGCTTCAGCAATACCAGCATGGCTATCTCACTATACTGATGTCATTGTGGCCTTGCCACCAAAGGGACACTCTGCTTAGTTGTCCAATGAAGCAAAGTGCCCCTTTGAAGACCTGCACAGCCTCATTAGGTTCTGTTTCCTGAATCAGCAAAATGAATGCATTTTTCTCTTGGAAGAAGCTGAGGCGCTCCAGTCAAAAAATTAAATAAATGCTTTATAAGAAGTACACCCTCACCCCCACCCCCACCCCCCGTTGTTCAGAACCAGAATGACATTTCTTTCTTTCCTAAGTAATTTGGCAGAATTTTAATCTGTATTACATTGTCAGAGCTGCTTACAAATAAATAATAAAATATAATTCCATAACAGCATTGCCTGGCTACTGTGAGCTAATTTACAAAATTGCAGAACACTAATAACTCATTGTTAAGCCTCTTAAACGGAGCCATGGTACTCCAGAAACAATAGATGTGACATGCTTAATAACTGCCATTCATCTCATTGAAGAATAATTATTAATAAGGGGTGAAAAAGAAAATGTTGGGCGATAATTAAAATGATAATTAAAATGAAATGGAAAATTTTGAGATGTCTGTGTAAAAGTTTAAGATCAAGATAGGATGAATTGGGTCTAGAAAATGAGAAAAATAGAAAGAAATTTTGATTAATAGATTGAAATAAAAATTGAGTTGTATACATCCAAATGTATACATTTGGAAATTAAGATTTGTGGTGATAAAATTGTAAGGTAAATATATAGATTAATAGATTAGACTGTTTTTGTGTTTAATGTTGATGTTAAAAGGAGCAATGGAAAAAAAATTTAGACAGAGCGGTATTGAATTTTGATTTATAATTGAATTTATAATTGAATATAAAAATGAACTTTGCTTAAGTAGGAGATTAAGATATATGATGAGGTAATAGAAAGATTTAAATTAAGATGCTGTAATATAGGTTAAAATTATTTGTTTTTATTTGTTAAACTAATATACCCATTTGTGACCAGACCAAGACTTCATTCTTGAGAAAATTTTTCTTTTTTATGTTTATGTTGGAAAAAATAAAAAAAATTTACAAAAAAACCCCTGCCATTCATCTCGAATATGAACAAATCATCTTATAGTAATCAGTTTTTATCTACTTACAGCAAAATCTGCTTTGGTAGAGGGTAAGTGGCATCATTTTCTGTTAGCCTCAAGGTCAAAATATATATTGCTTGTTTTGCTTTATTTTATTAGACTTCATATAGCTCTTTTGATACAACTGTGACTTTTAGTACTCCTAATAATGAAAATATTGAACAAGAAAAGAATGTTGGCATATGTCATCATAATAAAATGATAGTTAGAATGTAAGAGGGGCCATCTAGTCAATGACCTCTCCTCCAGCATCCTGATTTACCCAATATTTGGGCCAGTTATTTTTGTCTTTAGAACAACACAGATTTCACCTCCACTCCGCAACCTATGTTGGTTGCCAGTCTGCTTCTGGGTCCAATTCAAGGTATTCTTTTTGACCTTTAACATGACTGATGCCAGATTATTTGAAGAGCTGTCTCTCAGTTTACGTTGGCCTGTTCTACCAGACTCAGTGCAGGAGGTATGCTACAGATCCCTTTTGTTAGGGAACGAGTCCCTTTTGGTGAGTCCACGGAGACAAGCCGTCTCTGCCATGGCACCCACCTTATGCATCCACCCCCACAAAGTGAGGCTGATTCCATCTATATTGATTTTCCAAAAGTTCCTCAAAACCTGGCTAAGCCTTTAGAGCTGGGGATCCCAGGGACTGATGAGGTACTGAGGTGGCTCCATTGTTATTAAATCTCCTATTCTGTCAGCGGATCAAATCCCTAGTGCCGCATAACGGGGTGAGCTCCTGTTCTTGTCCCAGCTTCTGCCAACCTAGCAGTTCAAAAGCACGTAAAAAATACAATTAGAAAAATAGGGACCACCTTTGGTGGGAAGGTAACAGCGTTCCGTGCGCCTTTGGTGTTTAGTCATGCCGGCCACATGACCATGGAGATGTCTTCGGACAGTGCTGGCTCTTCGGTTTTGAAACTGAGATGAGCACTGCCCCCTAGAGTCAGGAACAACTAGCACATATGTGAGGGGAACCTTTACCTTTACCTTTATTCTGTCTTAGCTTTTGTGATGTTTTCCTATTTTTAATAATAATTGTTTTTTTTAAAATATATTAACTGTTCACAATCTTGTTGTAAGGGGGCCCAATGGCTCGGTGTTTAAAGATCCTGAGCTTGTCAGCTAAAGAGCTTATAGCCCAGGTTCGAGACCTGACCTCTGTCCAATGGGGTGAGCTCCCATTACTTGCCCCAGCTCCTGCCCACCTAGCAGTTCAAAAGCATGCAAATGTAAGTAGAGGTGGTGGGGAGGTAACAGCATTCCACACTCCTTTGGCATCTAGTCATGCTGGTCACCCCATGGAAATTGTTTTTGGACAATGCTGGCTCCCTCAGCCAAGAAATGTAGATGAGCACCATGCCCTAGAACTGGACATGATTGGACAGGGAAACCTTTACCTTTAGTCATTTTTGCATGAGATGGATGGCCATACAAATTTGATTGATTAATGGAGGAAGGGAGGGAGGGAGGGAGGGAGGGAGGGAGGGAGAGAGAGAGAGAGAGAAAGAGAGAGAGAGAGAGAGAGAGAGAAAGAAAGAAAGAAAGAAAGAGAAAGAAAGAAAGAAAGAAAGAAAGAAAGAGAAAGAAAGAAAGAAAGAAAGAAAGAAAGAAAGAAAGAAAGAAAGAAAGAAAGAAAGAAAGAAAGAAAGAAAGAAAGTTCAAATGTCTTAGAAAATCCATAAACATAGCATAAACACAATATACCATTGTCGGAACAGTGTCTATCTTGTGCTGGCTGAAGATTGAGTTTAAAAGTACCTGATCCTAATAATTTGACAGCTTCCTTCCCTTCTCCAAAATTAATGAGCATCAACATTTATCTTCTCAATCCCACCCAATCCAAATGATTTAAACATTTGGTAATGTTTAAATGTCCTACCTTCCTTCCTAAACTATGAAAATACCTACAATCCCCACCCAAGGCTCACCCACAGCTTGATTTTTTTCTTACTTTTATTTCTTTTTAAGAAAAAAAAACATTTAGGACAACAATGACCACTAGTTTACCTAATGAAAAGTAAATAAGAGCTACAAAGAAGCACCATCGAACTAACAGGTACATAGAAAAGAAGAACCTTTTTAGTATGTTAAAATAAATCTGGAGACAATGAAAAAGGGTGAAATTTAGTTTTTTGTTCCCTTTGATTTTCCCCTCTGTATAGTACAGGAAACAATTCCCCAAACCACCCACCCACACACACACACACACACACACACACACACACACACACACACCCCTAGTCATCTTGCAATCTGGATAATTTCCCATTCTGCTTGATGATAAAATGCTTCTTTCTCAGAATAGCTCTAAATCATTTGGAACTCCTGCTGATAACATTTTTCGGCAACAAGGAGAAAGCTTTTTCTTTTGCTCTAAGCTGCTGTTCTCTCTACTGTCTCCTTAACTAAAGGTAGTATTTTGTGGATAATGGATTTTTCCTGTGTCAGGTGATGCATTTTCTACCAGGACATTTATAGTTCTACCTATAGCTGGCATTAAGGACTGGCTTCATCAGGCTATTGCTAAGTTTCCCCCAGCAGAAAACCGATTGTTGGGGGAAGGTCTCTAGGCCACTTTCCTTCTTTGATTTGCAAAAGTGTGCCTGCTAGGAAAAGTTTGTAGGAGGGGGGGGAAATACATATCCTAACATATAAAAATGCATGCAGAGGTTCCTATGTTACTGTTTCTTTACTCACAAATGAATGTGAAATGACGAAATCCACTAGAGTTTAGAAAAATGAGAAGCTGAGTAAAAGAGTACTTGAAAGATTGTACGTCTACCCTTTGGAAGAGTATAGGCAGGATAAATGAGCATTTCAGCCTGTCTTATTTGTGAGCAAAAGCAGAAGAGGATGACCAGCAGCAAAACGGATGGTCTCAACTACACTGGCAATGGGTATACTGTTGGATGATTGGAAAAATGAGTTTAGGACACATCGTCAAGATGGAAATCTATCTGGGTTCTAAAAATCAATACCAGCTTGATGCCACATAATCAAATCTCTAATATATCACTAATGTTCATCTGAAGATAATCAGTTAATTAAAATAGAGCTGAAAGGACCTTGGAGATCTTTTAATCCAAGCCCCTGCTCAAGCAGGAAACTCTATATAATTTCAGTCAAGTGGGTGTCCAGTCTCTTCTTAAAAACCTCCCGTGATGGAGCACTCACAACTTCTGAAGGCAAGCTGTTCCACTGGTTGCCCTCTGAAGCAGAGGTGGGTTCCAGCAGGTTCTGACCAGTTCTGGAGAACTGGTAGCAGAAATTTTGAGTAGTTCAGAGAACCAGTAAATACCACCTCTGACTGGCCCCGCCCCCATCTATTCTCTGCCTCCCAAATCGCAGCTGATTAGCAGGAAATGGGGATTTTGCAGTAACCTTTTCCTGGAGCGGGGTGGGAATGGAGATTTTACAGTATCCTTCCCCTGCCACGCCCAGCAAGCCACGCCATGCCCACCAAGCCACATCCAGAGAACTGGTAATAAAAATTTTTGAAACCCACCACTACTCTGAAGTGACTGAAGATACTACAGGAGGACTATTTCCCCCCACCCGTTCAGTAAACTGTAACTAAATTGTACTTCTAGATCTAGATTTACTATGGGATTTACTTTCAGACTGCATTATGTTGGCGTCTTCTAGAAGGCAAGGTTGGGTGCTAAACTTTCACTTGCAGATCTTGTAAAGTTATCTGGGAAATGAAAATTGTAGACAAATTGTAGACTGCCTTTAATTCATGTTTCTAGAATCAATAATTCCCCAAATTATATAGTCCATTTTCCATCTGTAACAGCTTTATGAAAAATGTTTCTGTGAGGCTGAGCTTCGAACAAGAGTGGGATTAAATAAATAGGATGGAATGTTATTTCCAGTATTTGGAGGGTGGTAGTTAGGAATTTTACAACATGTGACCTTTTGCTCCACAAACCTTGTTTTTGTTTTATTTGGGACTTCGTGTGCTGCTAAATTCAGCTCAAGAAGGGAAATGGAAGAAATATTCAGTGGAACTGTATGTCAGAGGTTTTGTTGTTGCCCTGATTTGTCCTCTGTCACATTTGTTTCCTTCCATTTTCCATTAAAGCAGGACTACATAGGAAACATAATAATGACTTTAATAGAAAGAAATTAATGCTTTTGAATACAAACTTTCAGGATGATTTTTCCCAAGTTTTTATATTTTTCCCCCTTCCTCAAAGAATCAGTAGAACATCACTATCCATAACTACAAATATGGTAGTTATGTACAAATGTACAAGTACATTTATAAAGATATCAGCTGTAAATAGCAAGAATGTGTATTGTAGTTAAAATGTGGCTGAACTGGAGAGGACAAAGCTTAAATCACTGCAAAGCTTTCTTGATGATTTCCGATCAGTCATTCTTTCTCAATTTAGCCTACCTCACAAGGCTATTGTACAAATAAAATGAAGGGAAGAATGTTGTATATGCCACTTTCTTCTCTCAAAGAAAAGTGAGAAAGTGATATAAATGGAATCAATCAAGGAATAACATCTACTGTATTCAAAATTCCCTGAATTGTTTTAGGAAGTGAAATGAGACAGTTCAGCAAAGATTTTGGGTGGGGACATGAGATTTCCTGAGAGCTGGAATAGAGCATAAAAAATGAACACTTTCAAATAAATTTGCAGCTCACATAATAGTGAATGAATCTCTGTTTTGTTGATACTGGAGAATGATTCCTTCAGGCAATTGCCTAAAGGAAAGGACTGAATAGAGCACTGCACCAGTGTTTGGGGAGGTAGAATGTTCAAAAAAAAAAAAAAAGTCAAGATGGCAGCTTGCACTCATGCAATCAAAGTGCACATGGAAATGTAGCAGGGTATAACATGCCATTTTGGTTGCCATCTTGCTTTTATTTTTTTATTCCTGGTCCCATTAGAGATACTGCTACAAAAAAAATCATTAAAACTGATTGTATAGTTTCACATAAGATTTTCTCTTGGCTCAAATGAAGAACCTAATTCAGTAGATTTTCTGCAAGGGGGAACAATTTAAGAATTGTCAGCAAATTATTTCCCTAATTCTCAAGATTGTGAAGAAATATATAACTAAGGAAGTCACAAAAGAGAAGAGCTACACTCTACCTGGATTCCCAAAGCTGTGACTGAGGGGGTCAATATGCTCAGCGACATAAACTTGGTGTCTGCTAGGCTCCCCATCCAACCTAATTTTATTTTTATTTTTTTATATATAACTTTTTTTATATAAAACAAATAAACATTTAAAACATCAATCATCCCTCTCCTGTGACATCTCGGTGTTGACTTCTACTTTTCTTTTTGTTCTTCTTGTTCCAACAGTTTCTTCTATCTTAATCATCATCCAATCCACTGTAAAAGTCCATTCCTGTAGTCATATTCTTACTATCAAATTTTTATACATAGTTATAAAATTAATCATTTATATCTCTTTTCCAACCAACAATAAAAATAATTCCATGTTCTAAAACAACCTAATTTTATTTATGAGCTACTTTTAATTAAAAATAAATCAAAAGCTAGTATGCCACAAAGCAAAACATTAATTTCAAGAATAATGTTTATTTCCAGGTATGTCTCTGGGCCAGCATAGAGCCCAATGGGATTGTTAGGAAATAGAATGGTAAATAGTTACAGACAAATGCTTCATTTGGAAATGTGTTTTCATGTAAATGTACAGATCATCCTAGAAGGCTGAAGGAGGTAATGGAGATCTAATTTTTACATGCTGTTGTGTATTTATTTATTTCTATCCTACCTTTATTATTTTTTACAAATAACTCAAGGCACCAAACATTTCCAAGACACCTTCCTCCTCCTATTTTCCCCATAACAAAACCCTGTGAGATGGGTTGGGCTGAGAGAGAGTGACTGGCCCAAAATCACCCAGTTGGCTTTCATGGCTAAAACAAGCCTTGAACTCATGGTCTCATACTTTCTAGTCTAATGCCTTAATCACTAGACTAAACTGGCTCTGTACAATCATGGGTCACAAGCTGTGGATCATATTTATTTGATATATTTAACTATTAAGGAATGTGCCAGAAGATTAACCTATTAACCAACAAAATACAACAGGAATAACCTGTTTTGCCAAAGCAAAAATGAGTAATAGATGGATTGGAAAAGATTAAACTTCTCCACTTCCAGTTTCTCCACAGAACAAAATCTTCATTAATTCATATATGTTGTCTGAGAGTCAAAGTGTTGTGCTAGCACCTCAGAAGCCCTAGTTCTAACTGATGCTCATTCAAGAAAACCTATTGGGTGGTCTTGCCTAGTCTGTTTGTCTTCCTTGTCTCTGTCTTTGTCTCCATCTCTGATTTTAGAAGCCACCTGACTCAAGAATGACGTACAATTTCCAAAAATGAAAACAACAAAGAATCTGAACAATATCATATACAGCATATGCAGCACAAACATCCACACACATCCACACATATTGACAGGGCTCTACAGCTTCCCTAACCCAACCCTAAAAACCCTACAGCCTCTCTTAACCCTAAAAACATGGCTGTTGGGAGAACCGCCATGTTTTTAGAGATCTTTGGAACCACATGGATTTCTGGGATGGGGTGGGGTATCATTTCAGAGGCAAGTTACTACAACCAAGAATATGTCTCAGTGCACTCTATCTGATAGGTTTTCTGTAGGAAAAACTGGCCCAGGGAATACTATATATAGTACGTTTATCTTCTGGAAGAAAAGAGGGATCTAAATTTAATAAAAGTACAATAATTTTTGCCTTGTATATTGGTGATTTGTTAGTGGTCATGACAGATACTCTGTGTGAATAATCATACCATGCCTTCAGGATTCTTAAAGCTGGAGACTCTTTTATAAAATTGTACCTTAATGGGTAAAAATTGTACCTTAATGGGTAAAAAAAAAAAAGAGTTATGAATAGGATACTATCATCCCAGTGGGCCCTGTTTCTGAATACATAACATATATGTGAATAAATCAAGCCTGAATAAAGTTGAGTAAATTACAAAGCATACGAGAAGAAAAATATGGACCCATTCTTATCAGGGTTCAGGCCCAGGTATGAGATGGAGATGACATTTGTCATTCCTTTTTGACAGATCTTAAAATCTGGAAGGCACTAATATGACCTTCTTGGTCTTTTTAGATTTCTGAGCAGTCTTCAGTACATTTGGCTGAGCAGGAAGCAATTAGCCTGTTTTCAAACAATTGTATTAGTTTGATCATAAATCACTTAGCAGATAATGGTAGGTCTAAACAACTGTAAATTAGGCAAAGAAAGATCTACAGAGAAAGAAAACCTTGCCTCTAACTCCTACCTGTGGCTTAAATACTACCAAGAAGAGCTGGTATTCTGCAGTCCAAGATCTTACAGCCAAAACGATCCATTATATCTAGTCCAAGAGCTGCAAGCTGAAGGGAAAAAAATCAGCTTTTTTTTTTTAAGGAATGAGAGGCCAAAGAAATGCAGAGCCAACAAAAGGAGGCAGTCTGGACCATGTCCTAATTAGAGAAATTAATGCTCCATCCTCTAAAAGAGTCAATCTCCACTGCTCAGCCCACTCACTCTCCTTACTAGTGGAATGAGCAGTTACCTCCACTGAGTTTGATATATCACTCATAGGTGGCAGCCAGCCAGTTATCTCCAGAAGTGCAGGCTGAGAAATCACATATTTTTTTATTTTCAGTCTTATAATATGAAGGATGTATTTCAGAGAATATTGACCATAACATTATTCTGGAACGTCTGCAAAGGTTGGGATTGGAAGCACTATTTCTACTCCTTCATTAGTGAATGGTTCCAGTTAATTTTGTTGAAGTACAGAGTCAGCTAAGTAGACTCTCTCTTGTGTTGATTCTTCCTTTCTTTTCAACGTCTATAGTACAGGAAGTCCTGGGGAAGGTCCTTTGCTGGTTTAGGCTATAGGAATATCAATATGCTGATATTTTATGATAAAGTATCATCAATATACTGATGATACTTTATCTCACTATTGCAGATCTTGCAAAAGTTGCTATAGGTAATCCTCACTTAGCAACTGCAGTTGGGACTGGCAACAGGACCATGATGAGTTTACAATGACACTTCCCATTAAGTTGTTAAGAGGGTCACTGCACTTCAAGTGAGACATCACATGATCACAATTTGTGATTTTACTGCCAGCTTCTCCACCGACTCTGCTGATTGGAAGCCAATTGTAAAGCATACAAATGGTGATCCTGTGACCATGGGAATCATGGATGAACATAAATGCAAAGACTAGTTGTAAAGTAATTTTTTCAGTTCTGTTATAACTTCAAATGATCACCAAAAGAAGGCAATCATTTAGCGAGGTCTACTGGTACTGATGTTTATCCCCGTTAGAGTGGGTCTGGCACCATTAGAGCTTGGATAGGGAAAAACAGACTGATGTTGAATCCCAGAAAAATATAGATGCTGGTTGTTCAATGAGCTAATTTGAAAGCTATGAGTTGAGACTCCATCTGGATTCTTGGTTACTCATTCATGGGCCTTTTTTTCAAGCCTGGTTATGTGCCAGTTGCAAAACTAACTGCAGCAGAAATACCTTTTAATAATACCTCATACATCATTGTGTGGCTAGACTAGTTCACAAATAAACTCTGCTTATGAAGAATATCCAGAAGCTTCAATTAGTACTAAATGTATTGACTAGTACTAGGCACTATCACCATGTTACACCTTTGTTTTCAGCTGTACACTGGCTTCTGATTAGCTTCCAAGTACAATTCAAGGTCCTTGTTGTTACCAATAGGGCCTTGTGGGCTTTGATTCTGGACCTTGTCCTCTAGTTAGAATTGACCAACTTGATTCAGGTGTCCCAGAAAAAAAAACAAGTCGAGTGTGTCAGTGAATGTGTTAAAAGGGGGGGACCTCTACCATGCCCCTTCTCTTGGTATTCTAAACATGTGCTTATTCCAGTGGTAGGTTGCCCCCAGTTCGACTGGTTCTATAGAACCAGTAGTAAAACCGGTGGGAGACTCTGCCCACCGACCCCAACATCATCAAAATGCTTCTGTGCATGTGCAGAAGCTTTTGCGCATGCACAAAATAGCACGCACGCGGCCCCGTTGCGAACCAATAGTAAAAGTAAGTAGAACCCACACCTGGTTTATTCGCTTAATAGTTAATCCAGGCACTGTTTTTGTGGGCAGTTCCTGCAGTTTGGAAACCTCACACCTGAAGTGTGGAAGATTCTTACAGTTTAGGCTTTTCATTTGTTTCAGAAGGGCTTTGGTATTGCATGATGACTAGGATGATAGTTGATTAATTTATTATATGCTATATTTTAATTACACAAAGAAATATTCTTTCCATGATAATCTAACCCTATTGGGCCTTTCAGGTCTTTTAACAATGCTGTTATTTTAACCCATTGCCTCTATAATTGAATTCCTCTCCCTTGCTGCTGGTCATCATCTTCTTCTCTTTCCTTCCACTTTTCCCAGCATCAGAGCTTTCTCCAGACAGATAAGTGTTTGCACAATGTGTCTGAAATAGGATAATATGAACTTGATTATTTTTGCCCTGAGGGAGAACTGTGGGTTGATTTGTTCAATGATCAATTTGTTGGTTTTCTTGGCTATCCATTGTATTCTCAATTTTCTCTACACCAATTTTTAAAAGTATCAATACTCTTCCTATCATGTTTCTTCAGGATGATGGTAAGAATGGATTTATGATTATGTACTTTCATTTTGTAGGTTTTCAGGAGAAATCAAAAAGTGTCTTTATTCAGGTGGAAACTACAGTGGTTATGGGAGTCCAGCTCAAAAGTCAGAGAGCTCCAAAGTTACAAAGGCTAAGGATTATATATTTACTGGGAGGCTACATGAGGAACGATAAAGTCAATGTAATTAATATATGATTCTCAAATTATGCCCTCATATCAAATAAGAAAAAAAAAATGCTTCTTCAATGTAGGCACCTCCACAATTTCAATATTTTCATAGAGAGATTTCCTTTCCATGCTTCTGTTATTAACAATATAGCAAATATGAACAGATTATTATTCTCATCAAATGACCTTCACACTTTGTCAGGGAACGCTAACCTGCTCTTCGTTATCTGAACTTCTTGCTCTCAGGGCCATCAGTTTTAGGCATTTTGGTTGCACCCTTTACGCCATTTACTAGTTTACAAGATTAATTTATTATTCTAACATAAGGTTTGGTTTCTCTCAAAGACTTACCCCCTTTACATTTTTTTTACTGTAGATATTTTATGGCTCTCTCTTTTTTATTGTCATCTACCAAGCACCTTCAGACTGTAGTGAGTAAGAAATATAGTAAATAATATAGCCTTTCTTTCAGCTAGCTGAAATGCAGCCTTTAGGGGGTTTTTAAAATTATTATTATTAGAAAGGCAAAAAAATTGCAAAGTGTTATCATTTAAACGGCTAAAGGAAATATATCAAAGCAAAACCTCAAAACAAATTCTGCTTAATTAATTTCTCTGACTTTCCTTATTCAGATCCATCACAGACAATCATAAAACTTGAAATGTCCTTCATTACTTCATTTACTTACGAAGGGATTCTGCCAATTTGGCACTCTAGAAAATGACATCATTGGCTTTCTTTAATTTTAAAAAATAATTCCTGGAACAATATTCCCCTGCATTTTGATTCCACTTCCAGGCAATTTGCCTGTTTTATTTCAACCATTCTCTAAGAAGCTCATTTTCTTCCTTTCTTTCCCAATAATCTATGGTTGACTTTTAACAACATATTAGATTAGGATAATCTAATTAGGACAATGGGATCAGGTTATCTATGACTGAAAATTAAACTATTTTCTTAGCATATTGCATGTTAACCATCCTATGCCATACTATGGTTCATTTGTTTCAACACAGCAGGTTTTGTGACAATAGTAATTTGTTTTCTTTAAAAAAAATCTGGATTCAGTAATCCATATAAATAAAGAAAATAAAGGACCTTCCAATTTTTATTCTCTTTTCAATTTGACCCAATAATGAATCATCTATCCATTTTGGAGCCAAAAACTTCCAAGCAAGAATTTTGGATAGAACCCTACGTGAATAATATGAATAAATCTTTCAGTAATACGACTGTAAATATTTCATATTATAGATGCATGAAAGAAAGTTGAGCCTGCATTTCAGGTGATTCTCGTCTCTTCCACCAGGAGATGAGATCAAAAACTAAAATATTGCCATATATTCAGTGCACAGGAGATAACATTCCCATTTTAAAGTAAAAATCTAAGACTTTTTTTTCAGGTAAATAGTGCCTGTTGCAGCCAGCTCTGAGAATTCATTTCAGCTCCCCTGTTTCAGGGCAGATACTTCTGTTTTCATGCCCAACATTCATGAAATAAATGGCTTGAGTTTTCAACAGTTACTGAGCCGTATGAACCTTGCCTAACATTTTACTTTCAATTTACCACCATTATGGTTTCATTTGACAGTCTCTATATAGTAATAACTATGAATTGGTTGGATATGGCATGTCACACACTTTGTGGGAGGATAGCATTTCATTGTAATGTACAGGCCCATTAGTGTACCAGAGCTTTTTCAAAATTCATGCTTTATGTCTTTCCCCCTCTTTTTTTTCCCCTTTTGCAGCACAATCAGTGTACTTCAAAAAGATCAGGAAAGGAAAGCTCAGATCAAATATATGCTCTTCATTTTCTTCTGTAGCTTTTTTTTTCCTGGCTTTTAAAAGGGCTTGAAGATGGGAGCTAGGTAAAACCCATGAAAAAAAATATCAGATCCCTGCCATAAATGCATATGCATTTAGACACTTTCTCAATCAGATGTATAGTGGTATTTTCATTTTCATCACCAGCCTCTCTCCCAACTCACCTCACTGTTGTTGTGGAGAAAATAAGAGGAAAGTGTGTTTGCCACCTTGAGTTATTTATAAAAATAATAAAGGTGGGATATGAAGAGAGAGAGAGAGAGAGAGAGAGAGAGAGAGAGAGAGAGAGCATGGTGGTGGTGGCCTAGTGGTAAAGATGCTTGCCTCCCATGTGGAAGGTTGATAGTTCAATCCTAAATAGGATTTTTCTCTCCTAGGTGCAAAGAAAAAATATCTGCTGTGAACTCCGTGTGACATCAGGAAGGAAAGCCAGCCAGTAAATGCTCAGCTCCATCCAGTTGCCCCAACACTACACAAATTAGGTGATTACAGGCAGTGGTGGGCAACTGGTTCGGTGAACGCCTGCTTTGCACGCGCCTAACGAGCTTGTGTGCAGCATTCAAAATACAGCAATTTGAAGCTCAGCTGCTTACTTTCTAAGGCAGCCCCGGTAAGTAGAACAGCAGAGGTGCAGAAATCAGCTGTGTCATGTGAATCAGCTGAGCCAGAAAGAAGGAAATATAGGACAGGATAGGGCGGGTGGGCGGGTGAGCGGGGCCAGCTGATCATTGGAACTACCGGTTCCCCAAACCGGTCTGAACCGGCAGCAGCCCACCACTGATTACAGGGTTATAAAAAGGGATATGGAGCTCTTAAAAATATAGTTTCTGATTCACAGAGTGATTGTAGTAATTGTGAGACAATGGATGTAAGTTTATCAGAGAGCAACTTCCTTGCAAACCTTTTCTAAGCAGACTTGACTAATTTGATGAGGGAAAAACTGGATTTCAGATATTAAAATGATTTCTGAGTATTATATGAAGTCTGGCTGATTTCTGTTTTGAGGGATGGGGGCTCAAGTCAGTGTTGACTCCTGGCAAGTGCCTGGATTACTTCTCATAGTTGGCAACATTTTCAGAAGTGGTTTACCACTGCTTTCTCCTTCCTAAGACTGACAGAGAGTCTGCCTCAAGATAAGCCAGTTGGCTTTGTGACTAAGGTGAGACTAGAACTCACAGCCTCCTGGTTTCTAGCCAGGTATCTTAACAACTATATCAAATGAGTTTTTTTTAAAAAAAACAACAACAACAACTCACATTTACCTTTCAAAGAAGAAACAACAAATCTCTTGAGACATGCAGCTTTGATAATTTACTTTAGATCTCTCTTTTTTCATACTCCTTGATAAATTTCTCTGGGGTGGAAGATGGTGGACCTCTCTGGGCTTTTTCTTGGAAACCTATAAAGAACAAAAAAAAATCATGTATGAGCCAAAGCATTTTCGATTTCTTCTCATGAAAGCTGGGAGCCAAGAAAGATATATTTATTCTTTTTCCCCTCTGCCTTTTGACTTCTCAAAATGACTGCTAGAAGGTATTAAGCAGCCTCTTCTCAACTTTAAGATAATCTAAAACCCTTTGCAGCTGCCTTATTAGATAAAAAAGAATTTTCGAACATCTACACAGGGCTGCATTTTCAGTGTCGCAGTGGGCATCGTAGCTATCAGTTTCACTTTTTCTTGCCTTCTCATTTTTCAAATGCTACATTTTGTTCCTGTTTTCTACATTATCTTATGTTTGTTTCTTTCATGGATAAAAATCCATGTACTTTTTATGTGATTTTTCCTAGTTATACACATTTTTCCTACCATAAGTCACTTGCTGCAGGACTACCATATATATAAAGATTTTGTGTGCATTTCCCCCTAAACATGGGAAAATATACATAAAATATGGGCTTTGAAAAGAGACAAGACAATTATATAGAATAAGATTAAAAAGCAAAACAAACTATTCTTTTCCACCTCTTTTATCTTAGAAGTTTTTCTGAAGAAACCTTTAATAGTTCCTTAACATGAGCTGCCTTGTGTTTTGTCTGAAAAGTGATTGCCTTTGTTGCAGAAAACCAGAATAAATATTGACTCATGAAATATCAGGAGAATAAACAGATAAAGACTTCTGTCTTTCCACCTCACAAGTGCTGGGCAAAAGTGAAGCTAATGGAAATGTATAATTGCCATGTGGGCCAAAAATCAGATATACTTCGACCAAACATTGATTTAAAAGTCAAGATTAGTATGTTTTAAAGTCATCTTTTCAAATAAAATGCCTACTTGGACTCTATTTTAACACATGGAGGTTGTTCCAAGCATCCCTGGAATGTTTATTATAAAAGATGCAGTATAATGGATAAATGAGCTGTGGTGGCACAGTGGTTAGAGTACGGTACTGCATGCTACTTCTGCTGGCTGCCTGCAATTTGGCAGTTCGAATCTCACCAGGCTCAAGGTTGACTCAGCCTCCCATCTTTCCAAGGTCGGTAAAATGAGGACCTAGATAGTTGGGGGAAATATGCTGACTCTGTAAACCGCTTAGAGAGGACTATAAAGCACTGTGAAGCAATATATAAGTCTAAATGCTATTGCTATTGCTAAATAGGCAGATTTGCATCATGCAATATAACCCAGAGCAATCCTGTTAGCATAAAGAGGTTTATTCCAGGTTTAATATTTTCAGGAATGCAGCTGGACTATTCCATAGTTTTAAGGGTGCTGAAGGGTTTTGATACTTCAGATTTTAATACAAATTTATCTAGTTCTTAATGGGGATTTACAGACCAAAGAAGGCAGGTTCTCTTTAAGGTAAAGGTTTTTGATTTGACAGATTATTCTGATTAATTTAAAGTTACAGGAAAATTCTATATAAGTATAAAACTGTCCTTTATAAATGTTACCACATGATTGATAAGCTCTCTTTAAAAAAAAATAAGGAAAGTGAAGCACTTAAAGCAGCACTGAACACTTTGAAGAGTTCTAATCTGGCACAGATAATTTTGCTGCAGAATAATGCAATATTGTGCAATCACATGGCTAATATTAAAAGCTAAAAATATTCTTTAGTCTATAAAGAGTTTTAAAGAGTCTAATCCTACTGTTGATGCTCCTGGCTTTTAGAACATCTAAGAAAATATGTTTTATGGATTTTTTCCTTATTACAGATCAACATATTTAAATTGCCATGGAAGAATGTTTAGAAAACTGTGCATCCCGCAACAGCAATAGATTTCAACCAGGTGCAATTCGAGGTGCTGGTTGTCACCTTTAAAGCCCTTCATGGCTTTATCTGAGGAACTATCTCTTGCCGGTCACATCTATCCAACCCACTAGAGCAGGGAGGCAAAAAATGTTGCTGGTCCCATCCCCTAGGGAGATACACCTAGTGGGACCCAGAAGAACGGTCTTCTCTGTGGTGGCTCCCTCTCTCTGAAACATGGCCCTCCTTCTCTCTAGAATGGCCCTCCACTCTAACACTCTTCCAGAAGCCACTGAAAACCTGGTTCTGCCAGCAGACCTGGGGAACCCAGAGTAGGATGGAACCCACTAAATGGCTTGAGTGATGTATTGTTGCCAGGGTGAGGGGTGGGGGGCTATTATATTATTTGATTATTTGATTATTTTATTAGTTTTATTTTTTTATATGATGTTTTTACAGCCCTGTAAGCCGCTTTGAGTCACCATGTGCAAATCGGCAGCAATATAATTTTTTTAATGAAATAAATTTTAAAAAACCCTCTGATGCTCTCCCACCCAGTCATTTATCTTGTGTCAGAAGACAGGAAGCCAGCTCTCCTTATTACCTACTTTGTAGGAAAGCATGGGCACAATTCAGTGGTGGGTTGCTCCCGGTTCTGTCCAGTTCTTTAGAACTGGTAGTAAAAGCGGCAGGAGGCTCCGCCCACCCGCCTGGACATCATAATTGACAATCTGCGCATGTACAGAAGCACGCGTGCATGCATGCTCCCATTGCGAACGAATAGTAAAGGTAAGTAAAACCCACCCCTGGCACAAGTGCTTTCCTTCAGTTTAACCAAAGCCACGTGTTCTGGTGGCTTATCTATCTTGTATAGACAAAAGAAAGTAGGGATTTATCTGCCCATTTGTTGTCTTTTGGTGGACTGTGTAGGGTAATCAAAGAACAACCACATGCCAAGTATTCTGCCAGATTTCAGCTATCTTGAATCTCTCCTTCATTGGGGGAAGCAGAAAAACAAGAGATAGCGACAGTGCAAACTCATAGCCATCTCAACAACCCAAGGCCGTTTCCTTTGAGACATGCATTGTTTTAAAATAATTTTTATTGAGAGATTTTATACAATAATAAAAACAAACAAGCAATATAAATTTTAAAAAAAAGAAAAAAAAGCAAGTGTATAAATAAAAATGTAAATAGAGGATGGAAAATAGAGGGGAAAAAGAAGAAAATATGTAAAGGATCAGTTTTTGATCTTTTTTACAGCAATTACAAATAAATTTATTGTCTGTCTGCCCTCTTTAAGGTTATACCACATTTCTCTTCTTCCCATATTTTTCTCTTTCTTTCATCAAATCCAGAAGTCACCAGTTAATTTTTTTTTTTCATTTTCAGCAAAAAGTCCATAAAGGGTTTCCAGTCCTTTTGAAAAATAGACGTTGCCAAGTCAGAATTGCACCAGCACTGGATTATTTGTCTGGTTAGGCATTGTGATATATAATTGGGCATCACCAGCATACTGCTGATACTGAACCCTATACCAGTGGATGACCTCTCTATGTAGATGTTAAAAAGAAGCATTACAGGGACCTAAGGCTTGACCTCTCCTCTCCTACCAACAGTGATTGGAACCATCCAGAGAGGGAGAATCACCATAGCACAGAGCCTCCCTCTCTCAGTTTTAGTTTGTAAGATGATTTAATATGTCTTTTAATCTTTGATTGGGAGTTGTCCAGATCTGGTTGAAAGATGGGTGCCTACACCTCCCGCCTGGACTATTGTAATGCTTTCTACATGGGGCTCCCCTTGAGGAGCACCCGGAGGCTCCAACTGGCGCAGAGTGCAGCCGCGCGGATGGTAATGGGAGCGTCATGGCGCTCCCATGTGACACCTCTCCTGCGCGAGCTGCACTGGCTCCCGGTGGTCTTCCGGGTGCGCTTCAAGGTTTTGGTTACCACCTTTAAAGCGCTCCATGGCTTAGGACCTGGTTATTTATGGGACCGCCTACTACCACCAATAGCCTCCCACCGGCCAGTACACTCTCATAGAGAGGGACTCCTCCGGGTGCCGTCAGCCAAACAGTGTCGGCTGGCAGCCCCTAGAGGGAGAGCCTTCTCTGTGGGGGCACCTACTGTCTGGAATGAGCTCCCCCCAGAGATACGGAGGATCCCGGATCTGCGCACCTTCCGCCACGCTGTGAAGACCTTTTTATTCCATCAAGCGGGCTTGGCCTAATCTCCTCCCTCTTTTAATATGTAAATTTTAATCTGTTTTTAAATTATTGGGGTGTTTTAATCTGTCCGGGCCAAAATGATTTAATTTGATTTTATCTGGTTTTTAAATTTTGTGTATTTATGTATTTTATTGCTTGGCTGTTCACCGCCCTGAGTCCTTTGGGAGTAGGGCGGTATACAAATCAAATAAACTAACTATAAACTAACTACATAAATATTTTAAACAAATAAATAAAATTAGCTTTTAAGTTAATATGAAAGGTCTATGGAGATTCTGAATCATCCAGGTCATGGTTGTCCCAAAGGTGCTTTTTCAAGAGGCAACTGGACTTTCTGGTTTTTATTTGAATGTCTTCAAAGAAAAATCAGAAAGTCCAGTTGCCTCTTGAAAAAGCACCTTTGGGCTAATATGAAAAGAGCATCTAAAATGCCCCAAATAAATAATGAATACCAGAGCTCACCATTCCACAAAATACCTCCTATGTGTGAATGTATGTCATTTGAATGAATAATGTCAATCTATACACAAGGTAAATTTCATCATTATGCAAATAACAATTTTACATAAATGACTATGTAAATTATGCATGTGCCAATTTAACAGATCCTTTGATTTATCAGACTTCTCTTCCCCAAATTCAGCGATAAAATCAAGATTTCATTGTAGTTATGAAGGCAGCATCTATACTGCCTGCTACTCTCAGTATGTTTCCCCTCTACTATATCTAATCATTTATTATCAATTCAGTGAAGTATTCTGCAAAAATAAAACCCTTAATGCCTAAGGGTGAGAATCAATTTTTTGTTTATAGTTCCTAATTTTCAGCATAATTTATAAACCACCCAGAAAACAGGAAAATAGATTCAGAGAGATTATTAAAATTGATTTAATCTGGATACATACACACATGTGTATGCATGCATGTATATATACACATATCAGATTAACCAAGGGTTAAGTATTTTATGCACATAATTTTAAGCATAAACTTTTAAATGCAATTCACTTTAGAGCAAGAGGTTTAAAGAGTCTTAGCTTCTCAAAATATACTTTAAACAGTTATTATAGTGCCTCAATTATTTTTAAACCAGTACTTAGATGCTTCCTACACAATCTGGAATCTTGATAGAAAAGAGAGAAAGAAAATCTTATTGCTGACTCTTAGACCCATCTTTCTGAGAACAGGCCCCATTGATCTGAATAAATCTTGCTTCAGAACAGACTTTTTAAGTATTGCACTATTAATATGCTTTAACTTTAACACAGGCATTGAATAAAGGGAGAACCGGCAATTTTCATTTATACTTTTTTTTAAAAAATGGCACAGATGTGAACATCTAGTGAACGTATGGAAGTAATTTCTTGACAGACATTCTTCAACATCTCAAAATGGAGCTTTTGCATGAAGAATCAAATAACATGAAAAATTAATATAACACTAAGTCCTGTTCCTGATTGGATTTTGTTTTAATAGGCCAACACAGCTGCCTACATTTTTTTTTAAAAAAATTGAAGTCATTTAACTTCTATGCAGTAAGAATGAATCCATCAGTGTTTCCAGAAATGGGCATCTTACAGCTGGGTTTGCAATCTGAAAAGTTTTATATGTGCACAGAAAAATATCAGCGATAAGAATTGCAACTAAAAATAGAGATTCCTATGGCACCTAAAACAACACTAGAAATATAGCACTTAGACTTATATACCGCTTCACAGTGCTTTACAGCCCTCTCTAAGCATTTTACAGAGTCAGCATATTGCCCCCAACAATCTGGGTCCTCATTTTACCACCTCGGAAGGATGGAAGGATGAATCAACCTTGAGCCTGGTGAGATTCGATCTGCCAAACTGCTGGCAGCCGGTGGTCAACAGAAGTAGCCTACAGTACTGCATTCTAACCAATGAACCACTCTACTGCACCATCGCAGATTAAACCTGACTAATTTAGTCTTTAAGATGCCTCACCAGTCAGGGTTTGTTTCTCCTGCAAATGCCAACTTTTCTGAAAAGCAATGCTTAATAGATTCCAGGCAGGGCTGGTCTATTTCACCAAGAAAATTAATACCTCAGCAAATATGAGAAGATAGTGAAAAGTTGGTTGCTCTCCTCTGCTAAAGGACAATATATTCTGGACCCCCTCAAACATGTACTACTGTCTCAAGCATGATGGAAGACGCAATGTGATCACCAGTGCTGAAGAAAGTTTCAACTGCCAATCCAGCTTGCTTCAGTAATTGGTAGTAATAGTTTAGTAATTCACTAATAGTTGATGCACGCTTGTTCTTTGCCTCAGGCAGCAAAATGTCTTGCACTACACCTGGTTTCATTTCAGAGATATCATGAGTGAACCTGCTGGGCATAGCTATAGTATATATTCTTTGCAAGACAGGTAAGACTGGCCAGTAAAGAGAAGCATGTGGAAGAAATTGTGGGAACAGCAAGGTGGAGAAATAGGACAGATCATCATAATAACCATAATGGAAAATATTAGAAGGAGAAAAGCAATTAAGGACAGCTTTTGGGAAAAAGAGATCTGTGTGCTCTTGATTAGGTAGATCAAGTGTTGTGATATTATTGGTTAATGTCTTTATTGTTTTGTTTCATTGTCTTGCTTTATTTTGTTTATATGTTTATATTGTTAATCACTATGTCTATTATGGATTTGTGGTAGCATACAAATTTGAGAAATATGTTAATATTTTTTTTAAAAAAATACATTAAATTACATTATTTCTGTTGCTAGCCAGAAGGGCATTATGCTTTTGTAATTTGCTAATAGCTTTTTAAAAGGTATATACCCAGTTGTCTGGCCACTCACCAGGTTAACAAAAAAGCCTAAAGCAAAACCAGTTTCCAATTTAATATAACTATATTTATAAATCCAATGGAGAAGAATGAGAAATTATGATTTTCTATTTAAAGTAAAACATCCAGAAGAAATACTTTGTTAATTAAACTTATCAGACGATTAGAAATATTTAACTTTGAGGAAATTTGCAGGTCTGTTTCCTACTACACCATAGCAGAGTCTGACTTTTCCTCAGCCTGCCATTTAGAATCAAAATAAGTTCCTCCAAGAAAAGCTTCCCAGATATGGGAATTGTTTTTAAGAAAGGACATTCAAAGTGATCAGTCATGGAGATTCAGGCAGGTTTTGGACCTGACATGAATGAACACAATTTTTACTTGAAGGAATAGTTTAGCAAGTGGTAAAAAGACACCTACTTCTGCCTCTGAAAGGTATTTTAAATGAACTTCACAGAATCAATCTCTACTTCATATAGAGCACTCCAGGAAGCTATCTGCATATAAATAGCTGTAAATATTATAACAGAAAATATCAACAAATAAAGCACAGAGGTATCTAGAGCCTAACTGAGACTGAAAAGGATGGGCTCAGTGAAGTTATAAAGCAAGGCCTTGCAATATTATGGGATGGAATTAAGTTGCCATAGGTACTTACTCTTTTTATTTTATTCCACCTTTCCTCCAGTAGTCAGGATGGAGTATATGGGATTTCTTACTTATAAATATAAATAATTCTCTACCAAAATGCTATGGTGTGATTGAATGAGAATGGCTGCTCCCAAGTCATCTAGTGAACTTCTATGCCATAGGGATTCTGAGGTAACTTAGATTCTAAGATTACTCACAATTAGTCCTACAAGAAAGTCATAATACCCAAATGGTCAGAAGTTCTTGATGGAATGTTCATGATGACCAGGTCCTCATCTTCAATATAAGGAGACAGAAACATTGGGAATTAGTGCTACATAATCTAGTATGTTTCACAAACCCAAACTGTTTATAGAAAAAAATAACAATCCTAAAGAATTCAAATCAAGAAGAGTTATTAACATAATGTTCAGGATAAAAGCAGCCTTTAATAACCCTTTTTAAAATAATATGAGCTGAATTCCATATGAACCAAAAGGAAGATTTTATGAATGCCACTCTTTGAAGTTGTTAGAGTTGCCTTACAACCAGAGAGAACATTCTTACTGAATCAGTCACCCTTTTGCAACCCAATAGATCTCTGAATGTGGGGCAAAAATTGAGGATGCTGTGTTGAATTTACAGAAAAAGCAAGATATAAATGTAACACATACATAAAATGGAATACAAAGATAAATGGAATAGAATGTAAAGATTCAAAAAAGGCTCCCAATAAACATATGAAAAAAAGATAGTCACAAAAAGAAATGCATTAAAAATGACTGAATCTGTTTGCTAAAGAACCAATAGATTAGGGCATAATGACTCTATAAACAACTCTATAGTCATCTAAAAGGCATTGAAGAGAATTGGAAGTCTACCTACCTGGCCTACCCCAATGTATCCTAATGAGTCATTGATCAAAAGTCCCGTAGTATGATATCAAACGTAAGGATATCCAAAGTAAGCTCAGGATGGAGAAGGTCAATTAGATACTCTTCAAACAGCCACAAGTATAATTACTAATTTGGGTGAGAATTTTGAAACTCAGTAAAAAACCTCCTACTACATATATAGAAGGTCCACATTCAGTTCCTAGTTCTATAATTTATTGTAGATTATGAGGATAATTCTTAAATCATATTTCAGAAGTAAAATCCATCAATTTCTAATTAACTAGTCCACTTACAAGTATCCTTTGAAATCATGGAAGGCCATTTGGTTAGATAGGTGAATGGCCAGGTTTCAAAAAAGACAGTCTCTTCTTATTCTGTCTATCTAGTCTCGTTGTTTCAAAGAAAAATATTCTTTTTCATTCCATGTAGCATTCCTATTATCAGCCCAAAACTCCAAGTAACTAAATCTAATATTCTTGGATACCAAACCAATCCATACTCTGATATAACTATTGGGACAAAGCTAGCTGCCATTTAAACTATATAAGTTTTTCATTTCATTTGCCAGTTGTACATACTTGAAAGCCCTTTGCTCTCCAATTCTGATATTATTGTCAGCTGTGACAGCAATTCTATTAGCAACTCACAGTGGTGCTCCCTGTTAATTAGCATGGCATCCAGTGAGATGCAGACATGAGTTTATTCGTAAATGATTCCCTTGATTCTGGTATAGTCAACCTTTCATCTTTCATAAATGCTTTTCAATGGGGAATCATAGAAATTATGAATAGAAACAATTATTACAGCTGTGTCATCAAACACAATAATTGGTGAACAATTTTTCTACTTCATGATATTTATTGTTTTCTGATGTTGGTTTTCTGAGCTAATATAGAAGATGCATCCATAATAGGTATCATTACACCTGTGTCAACATTATATATTTAATGCTTTGTTTTTAGTTATCTACGGATACTTTCTTTATACAGCTTAACAGCAAAGGAATGAAGTCTGGATGCTTGATGCTGATGCATTTATGGAGTCACCATTTTAATAGAAGAAAGCAATATTTCAATATATATTGAATGCAAACAAGAAATAGTTCAAAATACTATATTGATTAAAGTACTATACAGATCAGCATACTACTCAATACTATACAGATTAAAAGAATGTATGATTGCCTCTTTAGTATATTCTATTAATTTGTTGATCTAAAGAGATTTCTATATTACATTTTAGCTTATTTTATTAACATTTGTATTATAAAGCAAGATTAATGTCACAGACTGTATACGCAAAATTTCAATTAAAATAAATCAATACTTTTAATGTCATGAAGTTGAAAGAGGTATATCAATATTATTATTTAGAAAATACTATAAATGGTTAATGGGAGGCATTAGAAGAGTCATCAATAAACTAATAACAATGAGTTGTGGATTAAAAATAGCCTAAGAATGGGAGTAGATCACAAAACAATCAAAGTTATCAACTGCAGTTCTTTTTTCTTTTTAATATAATTGTTGCAATATTTTTAGGATCAGACTCAATAATAATAATGAGAGTTAGAGGTTTAAATATATTTCTCTTTAATTATAATAGGCATTCTATATTCACTGAATATTCACAGATAGAAGCAAAGAAAATGGTGAAGGTGGCTCCTTATATATACAAAGGGTGGAGCCAAGAGTGGGAGTGGTGAATTATGAATACATTAAGAGTCAAAGAATAAGTTAACCCCTGATATCCCATATATACATTATTTACACATTAGGGAATAAGGCATTTACATCTGACAAATCCCCCTCTAAATGCCGGTTCGCTATACAACACCAATTACATTCAGATTCAGGACAATATAAGACATACAATTTGGAAGTTAAGTATTTGTGCTGTTTAGAAGGTAAAGGCTTCGTCAATATGTCAGCTAATTGTTCAGAGGTATCACAATGCACTGCTTTGATAAATCCATCTTGAGACAATTGTCTCACATGTTTAAATTTTATATCTATATGCCTGGATCTTTGTCCAATGGCATCGGATCTAGATATTTCAATGGCCGCTTTATTGTCTTCATGCATAACAAAAGGCAAAGCAGGTTTTTTCCAAACATCTGAAATTAAATCATTAAACCACACAAGGTTATTTGCAGCTTTGGATAAACAAACATATTCCGCTTCTGTGGTTGAAGTGGCTACCAGTTCTTGTTTACCAGTGTACCAGTAAACTGGACAGTCATTTAACAGAAAAAATATAACCAGAAGTACTTTTTCTGCATGATATATCTCCAGCCCAATCCGCATCTGCGTAACATGTAAGTTTTGGTTCTTTATTATCACTAGGTTCTAGTACTAGGCAAAAATCTAATGTACTTTTCAGATATCTTAAAATTCTTTTGACAGCTTCCCAGTGATACATTGTTGGTTTGCTAACGTGCCTTGATAATAAATTGAGTGGTAATGCAATATCTGGCCTGGTCCAATTAGATATATAAAGAAGTGAACCTATGACTGATCTATAAAATGTATTATCCTTGAATTCAGGGGAAGATTCATCAGTATTTCTAAGGAAATCAGTTTGCATAGGAGTGTCACAGGGTTTGGCATTGTTTAAATTGCATTTGTTTAGAAGTTCAATAATCTTATCTTTCTGAGTAAGTTTGAATCCCCTTCTAGTTTTGTTAATTTGTACACCAAGGTATTTGTTTACTTTACCTAGAGATTTCAACGAGAAATGTTCATTTAACTTGTTTACAAAGATTTCTCTTCTTTCTTTGTGTTTTCCTATATATAAAATATCATCTACATAAATCAATACAAATTCAATTTGATCATCACTCTTTTTAACAAAGAAACAGTTATCAGCAGTGGTAGCGTTGAAATCCATGGTCTTAAGTACTTTTACCAAGCAATCGTACCATCTTTTGCCAGATTGCTTTAATCCGTATAAACTCTTGTTCAATAGCCAAATTTCATTTTTATTAGTGTATTGACTGTGAGGTGCTCTTACATATATTTCCTTATCTAGTTTTGCGTGTAGGTACGCAGTCTGTATGTCATATTGAAATACATCAAGATTGAGTGCTGATGCTACTACTAGAGCTGTTTTAACACTCCTCTGTTCTTACTGTGGGGGAGTATGTGTCAGTATAGTCCTCCGGATATTTTTGTGCATAACCTTGTGCAACCAATCTAGCTTTGTATAAGGTATTGCCTTCTTCTAGGTTCTTAATTTTATAAATCCACCTGGTACCAATAATTGTTTTATCTTTAGGTGCAATCGCAGGTGTGAATACATTTAATCCTTGCAAACTTTCCATCTCTTTTTTCATAGCTAGTTCCCATTTTTCCTTTTCTTCACGAGGGAGTTTTAATACTTCCTCATATGTATTAGGTGTTATTTGTTCACCATCCATATGCATTATGTAATCTCTGTATTTACTTGGTATTTGATTTCTGTTGTTCCTAATAGCTCTTTCTGGTTTGCTATGGTAGTCATGCAAATATCTTGCTTCCTTTTTTGTTAATGTGTCTGTCTTTATTTTGTGTTGACTATTTGTCCATGTTTTGGTTTTGTTTTTATTTTTGTTGACATTTTGATTTTCTATTGTCCCTTCCTCACAAGATTTGGTATCTTTGCATTTATTTGGAAATATTTCATTAAGATGTAATTTAGACCAGTTGGCCTGTTCATGGAAGACAGCTGTTCTGGAAACTATAAATTTATTATTATTATCAATGAATCTGTACCCTTTGGTGCCAGTTTCATATCCCATAAATCTTAGTCTTCTGGATACGTTTTCTCCCTTTCTTCTCAACTGTTTGGGTATGTGTACGTCTGCAGTGACCCCAAATATGTGCATGTGTGCTAATTTTGGTTTCCTATTATACATCACCTCATATGGTGTCTTATTCACAATACTGGACCAGGTTCTATTTTGAGTGTAATTTGAATAATGTAGGGCTTCTGACCAAAATTGTTTGCCTAAACCAGCATCCTCTAATGTGCACCTAATCATGGTTTGTAATGTGGAATTCTTTCTCTCTACAATCCCGTTCTGGAACGCAGAAAATGGACTAGACGTGTAATGTAGCATTCCTCTATCCTTTAACCATTGGGAGAATTCTTTAGACATGAATTCACATCCCCTATCTGTCATAATTTGTTTTATTCTGATATTATGTTGTGTTTCTATGCGTTTGTAAAATTCCTTAAATTTTTGAAAGGTTTCATCCTTGTGTTTTAATGTGTAAACAAAACCATAGCG